CCTTGGTTAATTATTTAGAGAAACAAAGTTTCAGCCATACTTCACAGGCTTGATCTCCTAATTATATTTGAGTAATACCAGATGGGATAAAAAATTTAAGTGTAAAGCCTTGCAACCCATTTCTTAAAGCTTAAGAAAATATAGCTGAATATTTATCGGACCTAAGAATAGGAATGTCATTAAAACAGTGGAAACAATCAAAAGGTAAGAAAGGTACAGATTCAAGCCCACAACCATTTTACATTTCTTTATGATTAATTAAAAAGAATATTGAAAATCTTAGATGAAAGAACTTACAAACTCATTTAAAATATGTGTGTGTTATTTATAAAGGCCCTAATGAATACACGAGCAAATATAATATCCACTGGTTTATAGAAGAAATACAAGGAATAAACTCAAAAATGTTCAGTTTACTTCCAGTTAAAATAACTCTGGTGTACATTATTTTACTTGTCAAGTCAATAAAGACTTTAAAAGGAGTGATTAGCACTTCTTTTGCAGAATAATGGGGAGTTGGGAATATTGCTGGGAGAAATGGACACTGTTAGCCAGTGTGAGGAACATTTAGACAACATCCGGCTAATTCCAGCAATTCACCGTTATGAAATCACAGTGACATATGCAGCTACGTACAGGGAGAGCTGTTGGAGTGTTTCAACTAATAAGCCGTTTTAAATGTTCGTATTTTCACTTTATGCAAATCTTAAATTGTTAAGTCATAAGTTACGTCTGCTGGAAAACATGACACACAATGTCTCCATGTGATCGGGGTCTGACCCGCAGCAGCAGTCTCGTTCCGAAGTCACTTTCCTAGTGCAATAAGGTAAACATGCTGTCCCTTTGAAAAGCACAAATCTGTCCCCGCTGCGGGTGAGCTCCAGGTTGGGGTGGGTGACTCTGTCCATAGAAATGTTGAGCCCGTTACAAATTGTAGAAATATGAAATATTAGGGAAAATACATTTTGTCTAAAACTGTTCCCTTGCTGTAATTCTTGGTAAGTTTTCTTTTCCCTTTTTTTAATGCCAGTTCTTGCTAAGACTGTTGTACAGAAAATGATCTGAAATTAACTAGACAAGCATGTTTATCCACATTTACCTGAAAGGGCTCCCTGTTTACTTTCGATGGAGGGTTCCCTTCTAGTAAGAGGACCAAGAACGCAAGGCAAGAACTGTTTAACCTCATTTCCTGACACAAAACTATGTCTCCCTTACGTGTAGACCTAGCTGGTGGGTACCAACACATCATTCAATGTTGTACTGAAGTTTGAACATTACAGGCGCTGAACTGCTAAGAGGGCCGTGTCAAGGGACCCCTCTCCTTTGACTACTTAGGCGGACAGATTCTAGCAAAAGAGCCTTTTATTTTTTGTCTGAAAAATAATCGCGTAACAGAGTGGATTTTGTATCTTTTGTTATTTTGCTCTGGCCACGTTTCTGGATGTTCTGGGCTGGAGCCTTTTCCTTCTTGTTTTCTTACTCTGTGTGTGTATGTATGAGTGTGTACATGCAGAGGCTGCATGGCTGTCTGTATAAGACACAGGTGTGTAAAAATGCAACTTCTGTGTGTATATAGAAGTAAGTAAAAATCAAAATAAGGAAGATGAGAGGGAATGAAGCTATTTAAACTGAAATATGGTAGCAAAAGTGACGTGTTTTCCTGAAAAGAGAATCTAAAAGAGAAGAATGATTAGTACCTACTGAACTCTTCTGTTGTATTTCTCTAAAATGCCTTTCTAAAGAGCATAGTGTAGGTAGCTTAAATGATTTATCAATTGATTAATTGATCGTGAGGCTCGGGACTGAACCCACGGCCTTATGCATGCTAACCAGGGCTTATAACCCCAACTCCAGCCAACAGATTTAAACCTTGCTGAAATAATGCTTTACCTCTTATGATAGTATTCAATTTAAAACTCATTGATGAGACTTTGCGTGTAGCTTTCCCTTTGCTGCTGGCCTCTATGTTACAGGAATACCAGGAAGGCCTTAAAGTTCTTTCAAGTAGCTAGAGACATAATGGAGATGCTTGCATGAATGACTTCATCCTTAACTACCTGGTAGGCAGATGCTGTGATCCGCTTTTTAGAGAAGATGAGGCTTAGAGGAAACCCCTAGGATGTGCAGCTGGTTTAGCACACTGCTGACCCGCTCCTGCCTTCCTGCCCTTTGCTCCCTGGCCCAGGGTTCTTCCGCTTCTCAATTTTGTATAGTGAGAATGTTGGTCCAGGCTTTGTCACCTGTGTATCTTCCCATGATTGATGTCACTGCCAAAAACCTGAGTGTGAGAGTGACGGTGACCAGCGACCTGTGCCTGGCAGGAGCAGGCCTAGTGATGCTAGAGTCCTGGCTCCTAGGGTCATGAATGGCCGTTTTTCCTTTCCTCTGCTCCTTTGAAAATAAGCTCCACTGAAAATGTGAAGTGAATCCTGCAGCTTTGTTGTCAGTTGCATAAAAAAAGTGGAACAGAAATGATAGTGGTTGTTACTGTCCTTTTTAATGATTTCAATTCAGTAAACTTTCATCAAGCACGGATTCCCTTTCTTTCCCACCTCCCCTCCTTCTTCCTCTCTTTCTGTTGGGGAGACAGAGTCTCTGAGTTTCCTAGACTGATCTGCAACTTGGAATCCTATTGCTTCAGCCTCCTGAGGAGCTGGGATTACACATATGAGCTGCTGCCCCACGCTGGCCCCCATTGTTTGACATTCCTACAACCTCACTTTAAAAATCTGACTACCTTCCCCGTTTTCTCCACATTCCTGCTTATGATGAAAGTAAAACCTTCAGCAAATCATAAAAACTCAATTAAGTAAGTCCTCTCAAATTCAAGTTCCAGCTGTAATTAGCTGATTAGAAAGTTTTCCACCATATTTGCTTTGGATGAGGCATTTATATTCTAGTTATATCCATTTCTAGTGCCAATACTTTGTAGTGACTAAAGGAAAATCCTAGTAATTGTGAAGGCATTTATTGTTCTACCTGCTTATCCTGTAATTGCCTCCCAGGAGATGCGAGCCGTGGGAACCCCAGATCAGAGCACGGTGAAACGCTGGCATTCAAGCTTTCTGGTTGAAATAGCTACTGTGTAGTTTTTGTGCCAAGGCACAAGTGCTGTTATTCCAGATCTCAGTCTGGGTGACAGAGTCAAGGATGGAGGAGGGGGTGGACAGGGTCATGGGGTTCTGCTCACCGGAAGACACCCTTGTTTGGGAAGTGCTGTGCTAATGCATGCAGGGGGCGAGTGAGTTGTAAGCATGGGGGCCCTTTCCTGTGTACTGTGCCATGTACACAGCAATGGCAAGGAAACTTTTTCTGGATTCTCACAAATCTTTCCCAAAGTTCCAGGAGGAACAGAGTAACGGGCAGCTCTTCCCCTGGCCCTTACACCGCAGGCTGCATTCTCTCTGCGGTGGGAGTTCAGACTTCGCCTGTCCTGGTCCTTGTCATCTCCAGTGAACATCTCACCCTTTGCTTCCCTCAAATCCCATCTCTTGGGAGGCGCTCCTGGGCTTCCTGACTGATTGTGTTTTCCTCTCTTTCCCTCTTCAACCAAGCTTCCTCCTCTCAAACCCTTCAAGTAATCAATGACCTCCTGCAATTAAACTGGCTTTTGGGGGGTCACAAAAATACCCAGTAAGGTGAACTTTTCACTCCCTTCTTCATAGCTTAACTGATTCTTATTAAACTCTGAATCCATCGGGTGAATCAAAAGCCCATGTGTACTAATTATTTTTAACCTTTTAGTTTCTCAAACAGTATGCTAATTATTATTCGCTTCTTTTTCCTATAATTCAACAGACCAGTTATTTTAAATTTGCATTTTGTTAAAAATCTCTATATTTAGAGAAATTTTTATCAATTCAGTTTGATCAATATTCATTACAAAGAGAATATATTTGTATACATTTAAAAGTATTCTTCTGTTTTTTTTTGTACTGTATTCCTGATATAAAAGACAGGCTACATTTTAATCAACCTATAGTTTCCTCTTCTCTGAGTCTGGATTTGGGGGAGTCAGGGCTGGTTAGAACCCGGAAGGCACACCTTACTGAAATGCTGAACTGTAGTGGGGAAAATCACCACCTATTTAGAAAGGAAATAAACCAGAACAGTTGGGCAGCGTGAGGAACAGTTTGACGAACAAAAGGAACCTCAGCCTGAACTTTTAAGCCCACATGTGAAATGGTAGCTGTCAGCTGATGTAGGTGTGTTACGTAGCAGTGGAGTTTATTTAGTTAGAAAATATTGTAGTAAAACATCATAGGACCCATTGGTAAAGGTACAGAGTTAAGCCCATGCCTGAAGCTCATTTTTGAAGTCATGAAAGTATAGTTTCCTCGGAGGGGCTGTCATTTCCTTCACCCAGGAGTCTGGGACAGTTGGGTGACCATACTAGACCCCGCCCAGGCACCTTCAAATCCTAACTTGGTTTTCTTTTTTACTTAACAGTAGATGCTGTCTGTGCTACAGGTATGTGGTTAGGTTATGCTTAAAATATAAATTTTTTTGTGATTTAGAATGGGAAATTTTGTCATTTATATTTTAAATGTTTTTTATGGTATTTTAAACTTTTTTTTTAACCAAATGTGTTCACTAGTCATTCTGAGAAAAATTATTTTTCTGACTTCTTGCTTATTTGGCTTTGTCTTACAGTTATTCTACTCAGTGATTTCTGAAAAGAGCTCTTTATGATTTATAACCAAATAAAATTAATATTATAATTGGATAAAAGTTGGATAATTATCTAAATTATTCTTTTTTGCAATTGCATAGTATGTTTTCTGTTATTAAATGTACTTGTGACAGTACTACAGTGGATAAAAACTAACCCAACTTTGAGGTTTTTTTTTCCTGGTTTTCATGGCCCTGAGGAATTGAACCAGAACATTGCTATTGCTAAGCACTATGCTAAATCTCCTGCACCACACCGAGAGACTTTTGTTTTTGTGGAGTTTTCTATTTTAGTCATTACTGAACGTATGTATATTTTTTATTTGCAGCTGGTTTTAGAAGAAGTTTCCGTCTTAGCAGAAAAGATAAAAAAACAAATAAATCTATGTATGAATGCAAGAAGAGTGATCAATATGATACAGCGGACGTTCCCACTTACGAAGAGGTGACACCGTATCGGCGACAAATGAATGAGAAATACAGGCTGGTGGTCTTGGTTGGTAAGTGTGCTTTTGTATAGCATTCTGAGGAAATACGTGAGATAGGAAGACTTTAACTCTGACGTGCATAATAATCGAAACCGCAAATCCTCTCACCTCCGACACTGTCTGCATAGTGTCTAAACTGAAATCTTTAGTAAATGTCTGTGAAAATGGTCTTGGTACCTCGGGGGGCCCTCAGTTGGAGAGGGTTGGCAAACATCACTGCCATTCATGAACCCTAGCAGGGCAACTAAGGCATGTGAGTTTTTTTTTTTTTTTTTAATACAATGCAAGTTTTTTCAGTTCATTTTGAGGCAGTTGTATAGTATAAGGTTCCAATGCATTTGGACTTTTGGCAAAATAGTTACTGTAGACTTCAAGGATATTTACTTCAAACTGTAGAGTCAGTTAACAAAAATTGCTTTAAAGTAGTTAATAAATGCATGTGGATATTTCCCCAAACACTGGTTTCTCCTGCAGTAACATTCTAGCACTTGCTTGTCCTGCCTTTGTAGATGTGGGAGGACACAACCTCATGGTACTCTGCCTCACCCTCACTGTGGTCCCCTAGACATGTGCTGAGAGGTTTGTCAGCTCCCAGGATCCCGGCCAGTGATTTTGGAAAAGCTTTGGAAGGGAAGGAGCACAGTGTCTCTTGTTAATTGTGCCTTTGAGAACTCAAGATGACAGTTATGGGGATGAAAATAAATGGAAAAAACTAAGGATTTACCCCAACTTAGTGAGGAGAAACCCTTTGGAACTCTGTGAGTTCAAACAGTGGTGAGTGGCTGGGGGGAGGCAATGTGTTTTTCACATCTCATGCCACTGGAAGTGATTATGAGCCTCATCAGAACCAAAATTGTTTGCATAATTTAGAAATAACCTATTTGTACACTTCAGAGGAAAATCGAAGACTCCCTTTCAGCTGTGTTCATATCTCATCCATGTGTACTGAACCTCTCCACATCATACCTAGAAGAATATTTCTCTAGATTTGTTTAATTGTCTGGTTTGATTTTTTGAGATGGGGTATTGTTATGTAATTCAGGGTGGCCTCAACCCTTGGCAATCCTCCTGCCTCGGCCTCCTGAGTGCTGTGATTACAGGCATTCACTACCACTCCCGATGATGCTCATGTTCATGAAGGGCTCACAGTGCTTTCAGTTCTAGTTTCTAGGTCCAGAGGAGCCCTACTAATTGACAATATGAGCATTTCACAGTTCACATAGAGCCCAGGGTTGTGTATAACTCCTGTACTCCCTCATGGGGCGACGGGAGATCTCCCAGCTATCTCCCAGCCTGGTGTCCCTACTGTGACTTCCCCCTCATAGTGCTGAATCCACAATGTCTCTTCCTTCTCATTGCCTCTTCTCCAAGGCATGTCCCCGGGACCTATCCCTCTGACCAACCCACCTCTTAATAGCACATTCAGCTCTGCACTCACCACAGAATTCATCCACTGATGCGATTGGTACCCCTGTGATCAAACTACCTTCCAAAAGCCCCACCTTTGAACTCATGAGCCTCTTAGCAGAAAAGATGAATTTTATGTATAAACCCTTCCACTCTGCTTCCAAAAGGCTCTTGTCCATTTCATTATGAAAAATGCATTCCATCCAAGTTGCTAAAACATCAGCAATTCCAGGATTTCTCAAAAGTCCAAGATCAAAGTCTTTTCAGACTCAAGGAAAACTCTCAACCCTTAAACCTCTATAAAACTCAAATAGCAAGCTACCTACTCACAAGATATAAGGGCACAAAGTAAGTCTTTCTATTCTCAAAGGGAATAATAGGAAAGGAAAGCCATAGGACCAGAATAAGGCTGAAAGCCAGAGGGCAAATATTAAATCCTGTAGCTCCATGTCTGGCTTCTGGGGTACATGCTCCAAAGACCTTGGGCAGCTCTGCCTGTATTATTTTGACATTTGCACTTCACGTGGTCTCTCTCTTGGGCCAGCTCTATTCACGATCTGCAGCTTTCTTTGGTGGGAAAGGTTCCATGTTTCATGTTTCTGGCATATTTAGCTTCCTGAAGTTTTCGTTGCAGCTTTGACTTCACTCCCATAGCTTCACACATTGCTCTTTTAGGGACTTCTGCCAGGGACTGTGAACCTGGCACATCCTGCTTACCCTCACAGACCTTGCTTTGAAGTCTGGGTAGAAACCTTTATGACCCTACAGCTCTTTCATCTCATATGCCTTCAGAATCAGCATCACATGAATGATGCCAAGGTCTACCTCCAGTTCTAGAAGTAGCTGGCTCCCTTGGACCATCGTAGCAGTAACCTCTGAATGCTTAGATGGCTGGGTATTGTGTAACAAATCCCACAAAACCAATTCCCCAGGTGGCCCTTCTCGAGCACGAATTGTAGGGATTTTCTTCTCCAGTGAAGAACCCTTTCATCTAAACTATCTCAGACCTTACTGATTTCTGAGATGCTTTCAAAGTTTCTTCTTGTCCTAATGCAAAGTACTTGGCTACTTTGTAATAGTAATAATCACTTCAACATACACTTTCTTTGGCCCTGACTTTACATGTGCTGCATTTCTGGCCAAACTAAGTTTTTCAAATAGTTACCTACTTGTTATTGCGAATTCTCACTGTAAATCTCAATAAAAGCAGCTAGCAATACTCATGCCACAGCCTGAATATTGAATACCTTGAAATTTCCTCTGCCATATCAGTTAGTTCCTCATCTTTAAGCTCATCTTCCTCAGCCTCAGGACATGGACAAAAAATGGATAAGTTGTTTGCCAGAATGTGATCCAAAAGGCCTCTAGTCCAATTTTAGTAGAGTCCCTGTTGCCATCTGAAACCTCCTAAGTGTAGTCTTTATGGTCGCCACTCCCACCAGTATTCTGATCGTTTGAGCTTATTGAAGAATTGCTTTTCTTGCTGTTTGTAACCTTGTAAGGCTTCTGCAACCCTGTGCTGAAAACTTCCAAACTCTTGCCACAGAACAGTTTCAAAGAATTCTGAATCACATGTGCAGGTATAGTCACACCAGTGATTCTATTTCTTTGCTCTCAATTTTCTGTTTTAATCCCCTTCCCATTGCTGTGACTAAAATACCTTGATGCGCACAACTTAAAGGAGAAGAGCTTTATTTTGGCTCATGATTTCAGCAGTTCAGTCCATGGTTAACTGGCTCCAAGGTAGAAACATCAGAAGGTTGTGGGGGAGGAAGGCTGCCCACCTCATGGAAGCTGGGAAGCAGAGGGAGCAGGGAAGAGCCAAACAGAAAGGATGTCTCCTCCAAGGAGTGTCCCTAGTGACCTACTTCATCTACGTAGGCCCCACTTCCTGATAGCACATTTAGCTATTACTCATCACTGGGTTACTCTTGGATGAGGCTAGCACCCATTTATCTAAGCACCTGCTAAAAGCCCCACCTCTGAACATGTGTGTTTTACGGGAGCATTTTTTATTACAAACCATGACAATCTGAGAATTCCTGAAGTATTGTAGGCTGGCTTTCCTCATCTGGGATCATTCCCTTACTAGGAAAGTTGAGGCCAGTCTGCTTTTACAAGGTCACTCTTCAGTGTCTGCCAGGCCACTTGGGTCTGTCAGATAAGTTGGGCTCACAGAGACATGAGGTAGATTGCATCTTAGTTCACTTCTCAGTCCTTTCTGGTGGTACTGTGGGTTCATTACACTTGTGCGTGGCTTGTGGAGACTGAGTTCTATCAAGTAGCCATACCCTGGGCTACTGCTCCACTGTACAACTTAGACATGGGGCCTTTTCAAACTCTGGATGAAACTCAGGATGAGAGAGGAAAATACAGTGGAAAAGTTCATCCCATTGGAAGTCACTTGTCACATTTGAATCTGTTCTACACTCTGGCTGTTGATGTTTGCTTTGCAGAAACCACAGGTTGTTGCTTTTTGTATGCTGCCCAGAGTTTGTCTGTATAAGTGGGAGTGTGGGGTCTGGTGAATGCTCCCCACTAAAAGGCTGCTCAGATCCCCAAAGCAGTAATGTCCTCTGCACACACAGCTTGGGTTGGCATCATGTCTGCATATTAGTCAGCCTCCTCAGAATCTGGGTAGTAAAATCCCAGCTTCCAAATCTCCCAGTGAGAGTTTCAAAGGATCACTGGGACAGGAGACTGAAGGAATCATCCCAGCTGCATTTTGAGTAAAATAATAAACATTCCATTGTCAGCCAGATAGCACAGAATGACCTGAAGAATTTGGGGTTTTTGCTGTGCATAAATGCTAGCAGTCTGGTTCCACTATCAGTAAGCAGAAGCTCATTGGTCAAACCTTGAGCAAATAGATTAACTTAGGACCTGTGTCATCAACCCTATTTCAGTGACTGCTCCTTCTGTCTCTGCCTGCAGTTCCCAGTTTTCTGAGCCCTGATTCTCAGAGGAGATTCCTCCTGTACTCTTTAACAGGAGCACTATCCTCGGAGTGCTCTAAGAGAAGCAAGAGCACAGGCAGTACTGGGAGTGGAGACCATATCCTCTTTCCCACTTGTGTTTCTTCATTCTTTGGTGTTTCTGGGCCTTGTAGTTAATTGAATTGCTTCAGCAGCAATCAAAATCGCCTTTGTGCTGCTTCTTCTTATTCAGCAGATTTCTCCACTGCTATCATCCAGTCAGAATGCTTCACAGCCCTGCATCCTTGCTTTCCAACAGCCCCACCAGAATTTCCGAGTTCTAGTTTGTTTCCCAAGAAGGCCCTTCCTGCTCTGTGACATGTTCTAACAGTAGCTAAAGCTATGCATACAATAGTGCCTGCACTCCCCACCATGACTACAGTAAATACTTTTCACAATCATTTCACAGATGGAAAAAGCGAAAGCACAGGAAGAAGTGAATTGTCTGAGATGTCACAGCTGCTGTGCAGTGGAGCTGATTCAGATGCATGTAGTAGGAGACCAGAACCCTCTTTCCTTCCTCACTGTAGAGCACACTTTCAATCTGTGATAATCAAGGCTGTGCAAGCTAGATTAAATATCGTGCGTTTCCTTTTCCTCTTTGATTTAGGACCTAATGAATGCTTCATT